TTCAGAAGGGTCCCGACCCAAAACGTCAACTTTCCTGCTCCTCTGATGCTGCCTGGCCCGCTGTGCTCCTCCAGCTCCACACAGTGTTATCTCTGACTCCAGCATCAGCAGTTCTTACTATCTCTGAGGGGATACAGTCTGCACCTGTCTATAGAAAGAGTTTGTGGCAGGGACTGAAGACAGTGGCTTTGGTCTTACCAATAATTAATAAGAGAAATTTCCTGTTTATCCAATACATTGCATAACAGTCTGGCAATTTACAATGATTAAGTAGTGAGAAAATACAGAGAATAGGAGCAGAGGTGGGCCATTCAGTCCTTCAAGCCTGCTCCAACATTCAATGTGATCATGGCTGACCAACCAACTCTGTACCCTGTTCCTGCTTTCTCCCCCATACACTTTGATTCCTTTAGACCTAAGAGCTATATCTGTCTCCATTGGAAAGCATTCAACATTTTGGCCTCAATCACTTTCTGTGGCAGCGAACTCCGCAGGCCCCCTACTCTCTAGGTGAAGACATTTCTTCAAGAGGTGGTGGGGAGGTGACACTGACTACATTTTTTGGATGATGTTGTCGAGGTTTACCATGTACAGGGGAAGGCAATGGCCTAGTGGTATTATTGCTGGACTGTTAATCCAGAGACCTGGATAACCTGGGAACCTGGGTTCAAATCCTGCCACGGTAGATGGTAGATGGTAGATGGTACAATTTGAATTCAGTAAAAAAAATCTGGAATTAAGAGCTTAATGATGGCGATGAATCCATTGTTGATTGTTGGGGGAAAGAACCCATCTGGTTCGCTAATGCCTTATTGGGAAGGAAACTGCCATCCTCACCTGGTCTGGCCTACATCTGACTCGAGACCCACAGCAATGTGGTTGACTCTTAACTGCCCTCTGGGCAATTAGGGATGGGCAATAAATGCTGCTTGGCCAGTGATGCCCTCATCCCATGAATGATATTTTTAAAAATGCAGACGAGAAAGAGGCAAAGACCAAGAATAAGATCCATGGGGGATAGCAGTGAGGTCACCATAGTCCCAACGGGCCATAGAGCTGCTCTCATTAGAGAGAAATGATTGGTAATGGTTTAACCTGAGGGCCACCATGCCTCAGGTGAGGGGAGGGGAGAGGTTGAGAAGAAGAGTCCTTTATGGTAACCTCAGCTGGTGTGGGAACTGAACCCAAACCACTGGCATCACTCAGCCATACCTCTAACTGAGCTGAACTGGTAAACTGAACTAAGCAGGTAGATATGCTGACAAACTGAAAAGGTCGGCTAATGTAATGGGAGGAGGTTAACGTGTGGTCTGGTATCATCTGATTGGACAAATATGGGCCTGTTTCTTTGCTCCATTGTCCATATAATTCTGAATGATCTGACAGGACAGCATCACAGCCTTGGACCTAAAGGTTTCTTATGTGCATTTATAAGAATAATTACATTGCTTTATTTGTTCATTGGATGCGGCCATCACTGGATATGTTGTCCATCTCTAATTGCTCAGAGACAGCCAAGAGGTGACCACGTTGCTGTGGGTTTTGGGGTCATGTGTAGGTCTGACCAGGAAAGGAGAGCAGATTTCCTTCCCTAAAGGACATTAGTGAACCAGCTGGGTTTTACAACATTAAAATCAACAACAGATACTTGGGTGCCATTAAACTAGCTTTCAGTTCCAGACTTTTCATGGATTCGAACCCATGTCCCCAGAACATTAGCCTGAATGTCTGAATTACTAGCCCAGAGAGATTCTCAGTACACCACTGCCTCCCCATTTCCTTTGTAAATGCTTTTGTATTTGTTGATTTCAGGTCAGTGAAGCCTGAAGATAAATCTTTGGCGATTGGGATTCAGTTCATGTTGTTCCGTGTTCTGGGTAAGTACAAAGTCACCTTGATCTAACTCCGTGTTAAAGGTCAGTGAGAGGCCTCTAGTTAAAGATTCCTCCACCAGAAGAAGTGACCTCTCAGTATTTAGCCTGCCAAGCTCTGTAAGCATCTTATATATTTCAATAAGATCATAACAACTGGGGGAGGCCATTCAGCCCCTCAATCCTGCTCTGTAATACGTGGTACAACTCCAGGTACGCATTGTTGCTCCACATTCTTTGAAACCCTTACCCCAACAAAAATAAAAGTCTATCAATCTCAGTCTTGAAGTCTACCAGTTGACACCACAATCACAGCAAGTTGGGTTGAATATTTTCATTTGCCCTTTGTGTTGAGAGGTGTTTCCTGATTTCTCTCTTAGACTGTCTAACTCGATGAAAGTCAGCTTCACAATCTGGTATAAATATTCAATAAAGCTCACTTGCTATACCACAGAATTACAGAATTGTAAATGTGCAAAAGGAGGCCATTCAGCTCATTTTACTTGCTTTGGTCAGTTACCTAGAACCAAACTCCTGCCTTTTCCCTATACCCCTACATATCATTTCTATCCAATAATCATCCAATGTTCCTCTTGAATGCCTCAATTAAACCTGCCTCTACCACATTTCAAGGTGGTGCATTCCAGACCCTAACTACTCACTGTGTAATCAAGTCTTTTTTTTCATATGGCTCACTGAAGAAGACTAAATGGAACAAAGGAACGTTCGGACCAGGAGTAGGCCACTCAGCCCTGGCTGTGGATCTTGTGCCACCACGCGATAACATCACAGCTTATATGTGGCTTCAACTCCAAATTCCCGTCTATCAACCTCCCCGGACCTTTGACTCCCTTTACAGTCAAACATTGATATTACTGAGCCCTGAATAAATGAAAAAACTCACACCACCCCCACCTACATATTGAGGAAAGAATTTCACATGAAATGGGTGTCTAAATGGATGTGGGTAGAGTCAGTGATGGGGGGGAGAGTGTACACAGGGCCGTGGGAGGGGGATTACATATGTGGATAGAGTCAGTGATGGGGGGGGAGTGTACACGGGGTCATGGGAGGGGGATTAAATATGTGGGTAGAGTCAGTGATGGGGGGGAGAGTGTACAAGGGGCTATGGGAGGAATGTTAATGAAGGGCCATCATCGATGTTGCTCGTTCCGGTCCAGGACACTCACAGAGTATTGTGAACCACATTAAACATGCTCTCGTTGTGATTCTCTTCCGTAGCCTGGTTGCCAGGGCCGATCCTGTACGGAAGTGCAATTGACACCACCTGTATCCGATGGGAAAAGAAATGCAACAAAAAGGCTTCCTGCAGATACTATAACCTCGATCTCTTCCGGGTCAGGTATGTTCATTGGTGTTACATAATCTTTCCATTGAGAAAATACTTATTAAGGCTCATTTGACTACACTTTCTAAATCCTTGATCTGCACCATAAGATATAAGAACAAGAGTAGGCCATTCAGCCCCTTGAGTTTGCTCTGCCAATCAATCCTGGCTGATATGATTCTCAATGCCACTCCTGCCCTTGATCACCCTATGAATCAAAAACCAATCTAGCTCTGGCTAAATACACTCAATGACTTGTCCTCCACAGCCCTCTGTGGCAATGAGTTCCACACATTTACCACCCTTCAGCTGAAGAAATTCCTCCTCATCTCAGTTCTAGAGGGTCATCCCTTCACCTTGAGGCTGAACATCTGGGTCCTGGCCTCTCCTAGTGGTGGAAACATCTTCTCCATGTCCCCTCTATCCAGGCCTCTCAATATTCTGTAAATTTCAATGAGATTCCAACCCCCTCCCCCGCATTCTTCGAAATCGAGTACAGACCCAGAATCCTCAACCAATCCTCATATGACAAGCTCTTCATCCCTGAGATCATTCTTGTGAACCTCCTCTGGCCCCCTCCAATGTCAGCACATCCTTCCTTAGATACGGGACCCAAAACTGCTCACAATATTCCAAGTGCAGTCTAACCAGAACCTTATGCAGCCTCAGCAGTATGTCTCTGCTGTTGTATTGTAACTCTCTTTAAATGAATGCTAACATGGCATTTGCCTTCCTAACTGCCAGCTGAACCTATATGTTAACCTTAACAAAATCCTAAACTAGGATTCTCAAGTCCCTTTGTACTTCAGATTTTCAAAGCCTTTCCCCATTTAGAAAATAATCTACGCACCTATTCCTCCAACCAAAGTGCATAACCTCATACTTTGTCACATTTTATTCCACCTGCCACTTCTTTGCCCACTCTCCTATCTGTCCAAGTCCTTCTTGAGCCTCCCCACTACCTCAACACTACCTGTTTCATCTTTGTCTCATCTGCAAACTTAGCAACAATGCCCTCAGTTCTGTTAAAAACTGAAAGGACTGCGGATGCTGTAAATCTGGAACATAAACGGAAGTTACTGGAAAAGCTCAGCAGCATCTGTGAAGAAAACATCAGAGTTAACATTCAGGCTAGGTGACCCTTCCTCAGAACTGATCATTAATGTATAACGTGAATTGTTGTGGTACCAACAGCAATCCCTGCAGAACTCCACTAGTCATTGACTACCATCCTGAAAAAGACCCCTTTATCCCCACTCTTTTCCTCTTGTCAGTCAGCCAATCCTATATCAATGCCAGTACCCTGCTCCTCACTCCATGGGCTCTTATCTTACTGAACAGCCCCCAGTGTGTGGCACCTTGTCAAAGACCTTCTTGAAATCCAAATAGATCACATCCACTGGCTCTCCTTTGTCTAACTTGCTCCTTACCTCATCAAAGAATTCTAACAGATTTATCAAGCATGACCTCCCCTTGACAAAGCCGTGCTGTCTGAGCCCTATTTTATCATGCAGTACCAAGTTCTCCACCATCTCATCCTTAATAATGGACTCTAAAATCTTACCAATGACTGAGGTTGGGCTGACACCACCCAGAGGAATTATAGCAGCCAATATATGGGATCAGTGCAAGTTCCCCTCCAAGCCACTCACCATCCTGACTTGAAAATATATCGCCATTCCTTCACTGTCACTGAGTTATAATTCTGGAGCTCCCTTCCCAGTAACATTGTGCGTGTATCTACTGTAATGCATGTTTCAAGAGGCAGCTCATCATCACCTTCCATCCTTATATGGCCAAGTGTATCACAATAGAATAGAAATAATAAAATATTGGCACTTTTCATTAATTCCAACACTGGACTCAAGGATGCCATTTCATTCTAGTGTACACTATGACTTAGTGATAGATGGTGGTTTGATGGAAAAGTCATTGGATTGATTGAACATGCTCTGGGGAAATGGGTTCAAACGGTAGCTGGTGGAAATTAAATTCAATTTATTAACCTAGATTTGAAAGCTAATCTCAATGATGGTGAACACGTAACCATTATTGATTGTTGGAAAAGCTCATCTGTTTAACTAATGCCTTTTAGGGAAGGAAACCTGCTGTCCTTACCTGGTCTGGCCCACATGTGACTCCAGACCAACAGCAATGTGAGTGATTCCTAACTGCCCTCAGAAATGACTAAGCCTGCCATTCAGCTCGAGGGGCAATTAGAGTCGGGAAAAAAATTTGGCTTTTGCCAGCAATGCCGACATCCTAATGAACAACTAAAATTTTTAAAAACTTGCATGATAAATGGTGCATGATATCTGCCAGTCCTGTCAGTGCCAGACATATTTTGTGAAAGGGAAAAACGCGTTACATTTTGCAATCAAATAGGAAAGGTAGAAAAGGGGAAAATAGACAGATAAGAATTAGAAAAGGATAAAGAAGTAGAGGAGGGGTTAATTGATTTTGTTTTATTTTCTGGAAAAAGAATATGCATTTTGTCAAAATTTTTCACCTTGAGCACTCAGGACAATTTACAAGAATACAAATCTCATGGTAAACTGTCAATCAGTCCTTACTGCTGCCTTCTCCAGGATAATGCCTGTAACCAATCACTTGCAAATCCACTTGCAAACCTATCAGCACTCTCCTCTCATGCAATATAAATGGCGATTTCCCCCTTGAATTGGTGTTCTTGCAAATTATCCTGATGAACATGTGATGAAAATAGGAAATATTTGTAATTTTCCAGCAACACTCAAAGTCTTTATTGCCATATGACTGTTACCATTGTTCATTTGTGAACTGGATCCCTGGGTCATCAGTTATTGATTGATAAAGATATTAATAATATTACTCAGCATTGTGCTCTCTCGTTTTGTTTAGATATATTGGCCTGCAGATGCTGTTTCAGTGCGGTGCCTTTCTACTCTTTGTGATGGCCTATTACTTCCTAAAGAAAGAGACTTTGAGAAGGGAGCAACAAGCCAAAATGGGAACTAAGGCTGCACTAGACCCTAGAGTTGAGGAAGAGAGAAAAAAACTGATGGAACAAGATGGTGGAACCAAATTACAGCTCAAATCAAAAGCGGGAAGTGGTGAGGGCGGAATCTATTTCTAACTCAAATCTGACCTCGACACAGGACACAGGGAGAGACAATGCCTGGCCTCTGATGGTAGTCTTTGAGACGCATCATTTTTTTAATTGGTTTTCATTCATGTGTTCACTGCTTTTTCTCCAGGAAGCCTCCTGGACTTTCTTGGATTTTTCTTTCCCTCAGTCACCCACTGTTGATCCGATGGTTGGAACCGTCAGTGAAAGAAGCATTTATTTTACTATTATATGTTGTGAGGGTCAATCTCTTCATACTGTCAGACTCCCAGGAGTTGGGGCGTCCTCTTATTCCTAGGTCCAGTTGGCTGAAGTTTTTGTCTGCTTGATCATCCTGTGCCCCTATTGCAAACCCTCCTTTGGCCTCAGAGTGGATTCTACGTGAAACAGGGACACTCAATATGCGGGAGATGACAATTTCACTGAGCTAGTGGTGCAGAGACCCAGACTAATGCAGTGAGGAAATGATTCGAATCCCACTATGGCAGCTAGTGAAATTGAAATTTGACGAATAAAATCTGGGATTGAGAGCCAGTCTCAGCAAGTGACCGAGACACTATCCATTGATTGATGTAAAAAACCCATTTGGGTCACTAATGTCCTTCAAGGGAAAGCAATCTGCTGTTCTTACCTGGACTGGCCTATACGTGACTCTAGGCCCACGGCAATGGGATTAACACATAACTGCCCTCTGAAATGGCCAAGCAAGTACATCGGTTCAAGGCGGCAGCTCACCTCCAGCTTGCGAGGGCAACAAATGCTGGCATAGGTGAAAGACTCCCTGCGTCTGTGAATTACTTCAATGGCATTAGTTGCCTTTAGATGACACGTTTGCCTTAAATGGAAGGGCTATAGCACAACACTGAACAGAACAATAAGTCATAATCCCCAAGAGTATTATAGGGACACTCCATATTTCTAAGCTGAATCATATCCACCTGCTAATGATCTACCTTTCTGTGACATGTATCTGATTAAGTAGGGCCCTGGGTAGTGTTGTAGAACAGAGAGACCTGGGAGTTCAGATACGTAATTCGTTGAAATTTGGTAGACAAGGTGCTTAAGAAGATGTTTAGCATGCTTCCCTTCATTGCTCTGTCCTTTGAGTACAGGAGTTGGGACATCATGTTGAGGTTGTACAGGACATTGGTGAGACCACTCTGGAATACTGTGTGCAGTTCTGGTCGCCCTGCTACAGGAAAGATATTGTTAAATTGGAGAGGGTTCAGAAAAGATTTACCAGGATATTGCTGGGTATTGAAGATTTGAGTTATAAAAATAGGCTGGATAGGCTTGGACTTTTTCCACTGGAGCGTAGGATGTTGAGGGGTGATCTTATAGAGGTTTCTAAAATCATGAGGGGCATAGATAAGGTGAATAGCAAAGGTCTTTTCCCTAGGGTCAGGGAGTTCAAAATAAAGGGGCATATTTTTAAAGTGAGAGGAGAAAGATTTAACAAGGACATGAGTAGCAACATTTTGTTGCACAGAGAGTGGTTCATGTGTGGAATGAACTGCCAAGTACATGAATCAGAAAGGTTTAGAGGGATATGGGCCAAATGCAGGCAAGTGGGACTGGTTTAGTTTAGGAACATGGTTGGCATGGACTGGTTGGACCAAAGGGTCTGTTTCCGTGCTGTACGACCCAACGATTCTATGTATCTCTACTTTTGCAAAAGTTACTCAAAAGTTGCGTTTAGTTCTTCCACGTTGGAGTGAGTTAATTAAACTGTTCTAGGAGGCCATGAACTAATGGAATGATGGAACATGCTGAAGGGGCTGAATTGCTTTGCCCTCCTGCTCCTTGGCTGAGGAATCTATAATTCTAGTCTCATCTGCTTTCAGTTTCTTTCAGCTTTCCATTACTCATGGTTAATTCAGCCTGGCTAACTGTATTGACCAATGTGGAATTGACTGTAAACTGTTTGACCTTATGCATTGCAGGGATGCCCAGTGATCAGTAGAAAAGGCACAGTGTGAAACTGTGCCCATTTTGTCCATTTTATCCTTCTTGTGCTATTGCATTCTTGAGAATAATATGGATGAAGCAAGGTATAAATCCATCTTGAGAAGTAACCATTTAATTCTGCCTTTCAAATGAAACCAATGATGAGAAATTTTGGTGGAGCCCAAATATGGGTTCACCGATTCACTTTTGCTCATTGTCTCACCGCACACAATACAAAGTGATTCGTGCTTTGTCTCTCCATAATTCTGTCCCATTTCTTTGCTCCTGAGTCTTGGATGGGGCACGGGTACAGCTCCACAAGTGTCCAACCACTCACCAGTCCGTCCCCTACAAGTTGTTTCTTTGGGATTAGGGAAAAGGGAGATTACCTCATATATGGAGTTGAAGCCGCAATCCAATCACCCACGATCTTACTGAGTTGCAGAGTGGATTAGAGGGGCTGAATGGCCTGCTTCAATTCATATGTTCCCGTAAACCGGTCAATGAGTGCCTGCATACTGAGCGTTCTATTAGCTTTCCTGATTACTCGTACCTGTGTACTAACCTTTTGCGATCCATGCACCAAGACATACAGATCCTTCTGCGTCTCAGTAGGCTGTGGCTTAGCTTTCAACAACAGCATGCATTGATATAGCACCTTGAACATGGTAAAATGTCTCAAAGGATTTGCACATTATCAAAACAAATGTTATCAAACAAGTGTTCAAGCTGGCCATTAGGAGACATTGGGTTAGGTGATCCTAAGTTTTGTCAAAAGCATAGGTTTTAAGGAATGTCTTAAGATAGTGGCGGAGAGGTATAGGGAGGGAATTCCATATCTTTAAGGACTTGGCAGCTGAAAGGCATGGAAGCCAGTCAATCAAAATGTGAGATACAAAAGAGCCAGGATTGCTGGAATATGGAGATCTCAGGGGATTGTGCAGCCTGATGAGCTTTACTGCTTTGTAAATATACAGCATGGCCAGAGACTCTATCTCAATGGTCCAGTAAAGTAGAATGTAATGTTATTTAGACCTGATCAAAATATTAATTCATATGTTACACTGATTTAAAATCATATAAAATTTATATACAAATATATTTTTGCACATTTATGATTCAACTGTGAATATACGCATGAATTAATCTTTATTGAGTTGAAATCAGATTTGAAATTTCAAAGAATTTGCAATGAGCCATGTGCATTCTGAAAGGCGGGTGGGGGCTCTGTTACTTTAGCGCAAATTGTAAAAGAAGGATATGGGGGTGGCGAGGGGGTAGAAATTCTTTTTGGATGGGAGGGAGTGCCCTCTGCACCAATCCCCACCCTGAGATATTAACCCCCTTCCTCTGTTGCTGCCCGCCTGATGTCCAAAACCAAACTCCCCACTCTACTCCTCCAATTCTCCCCCCTGTCCTCCCCCCCACCTCTCCACTCTCCTCTGTCCCACCTCCCCACTCTCCTCTCCCCCACCTCTTTTCCTGGGTTGCCCAATCCCTGTTCTCCACTTACTCCTCTCACCCCTTCAAATCCCAGGACTTACTTGCACTCCTGCTGGTGCCCATTGCTAAGCAATGGCTCTATATGACTGATGGAGGATCAGAAGGCTGAGATTTCTTCCTCCCATTGAGGGGCAGAAGTCCCACTCTCTCTGCCCATTTCCCTGTAGCAAAGGGGTTCCAGCTGAGGAGTGAGCTTCTTTTTTTTGAGGGGAAAGTGGGTGTAATGAGCACCTCCCCAGGGAAATTTAGCCCCATGCAAACCCCTTAGTTAGATCAAATGAATTATTGAAAATCAATTGAAAAAAAATAGATTTTCACTATTGAGGAATTTGGAGCCAAGGCATCAAAATTCTTTCATGGGTTGCAGATGCCACTGACTGGCCCAGCATTTATTGCCCAACCCTAATTGCCCCTTGAGAAGGTGGTGGTGAGCAGCCTTCTGGAACTGCTGCAGTCCTTGAGATGTGCTGTTAGGGAGGGAATTCCAGGAAATTGATACATTGGAACAGGCTCAAACCTGCAAAATGAATGTTTAGAAATCCTGTTCACATTCTTTTGTTTGATATCGTTAAAGCAACAATTGAATGTAAACATGGATGAAAAATGATTTCAACTCATTTAAAGAACAATGCTCACGTTTATGCAGAGCTGAACAGAACTGGTGACTCTGAGTGGGATGGTCCTGAGGTTAAGTCCCACTGCAGAGGCTTGAGCACAACATTGATACTCCCAGGGTCAGCACTGAGGGAGTGCCTTTGAGGAGCCATCATTCAGTTGATGCATTAATTCAGGCCCCCCATGTCTCTGGTGAAAGTAAGAGATTCTATGACACTACTTGATGGAAGATCCCAAGATGTCTCCCTCATTGCCCCCAACCAACCTAGCTCGTGATAGGGCCAGTATGGGTCCCTCACCCAACAACGCCGAAAGCTGATGATTTGGTCACTGTTCACATTGCTGCTTGTGGGTTCCTGCTGTGCGTAAACTGACTGTCGTGCTTTCTCCACTGAGGCAGTGACTAGACTTGTACTTCATCGATTAAAAAGCACTTAGAGGCATCCTTTGGATGATTCCGATGTCAGATGGACAGGAGATTGGTGAAACACATGCTGACATTTGTTTTCTGCAGTTTGTTTCTCCTCGAGTGGGGACAATAGATGGAAACCAGAAGGCAAAGCCACTCTACACCCATCACAGCTGACCCAGGATGGCTCCCACTCTCAGAGCCTGCCATTGGCATGGATTATACAGGCTGATAATTAACCTGTTTGGTTTTATTATGGATGCATCTGACTTGGTCACTGGCTCTCAGAATGGGACTTGAACTCTCAGTGTCTAGCTCAGAGGCAGGGACACTACCTACTGCACCACAAGGCCTTCTTCAAGGATGTGAAAGGCGAGGTAAAACACAAGTCTTATCTCCTTTCAAGGTTCCCCCTCAATCTTTTGTAAAAGGCTTAACTTCAAATCAAAAAGCAGAAAGACCACTTCACTGCCAGAGCCAAAAGTACACACTGACTGATCCTCACCAGCACCAGCCTAATTCTCATGGGGATTAAAGCACTATTCCACAGCAACAAAAACTTGCATTTATGTTATGCCTTTAACCCAGTCAAATATGCCATGATGCTTCACAGCTGTGATGTCAGAGGAGTTAGAGAGTGGTGAGCGTGTGGAATTCTCTGCCGAAGAATGCAGTTGAAGCCAAAACACTGAATGTTTTCAAGAAGCAGTTAGGTATAGTTCTTGGGGCTAAAAGTATTAGGGGAGAAAGTGAGAACAGGGGACTGAGTTGGATGATCAGCCATGATCATATTGAATGGCAGATCTGGCTCAAAGGACCGAATGGCCTACTCCTGCTCCTATTTTCGATGTTTCGTTGTTCCTAAGATGTGATACTGAGCCGTAACACCAGGTATGTGGCGGATTTCCAGAAATGGTAATACTTTGAGAGAAAGATCGAGTCAGAATGGCTAGTATAGGATATTGAAATGTTGGAGTTAATGTCACCGTAATTGAGAGGAATATTCCATGGTTTTTGTGCGAGGTCTGGAATTAATGTTGGTATCGTTGCAAAACACATTTTAAATGTAAAACAGATCTTTCACTCACTAGAAACCAATGCTAACTGCAACTGGCTCTGAGACAGAAGATAATATTTGGGTTCCAATCAAGACAAAATGAAATGTGTTAAAAAAACCCAGCAATCAGGTCCTGGGAATAAGCTTGATTTTACAATCCTTGCAGAAAGAAAGACCTGCCTTTACAACCTAGGGCTGTCTCAAAGTGCTTCAAAGTCAATTAATGACTTTTCAAAACATGACCACTGTTGGAACGTAGGAAGCCCAACAGCCAATTTGTGCATAGCAAGATCCCATAAACAGCAATGCAATAATGCCTAGGTCACTGTTGGAATGTAGGAAGCCCAGCAGCCAATTTGTGCATAGCAAGATCCCATAAACCGCAATGCGATAATGACCAAATCATCAGCTGTTGACTGACGGATAGAAAATTGCCTGGACGCTGGGGAACACCCCACTGCTTTATCCAAAGAAAGGGCAGTGGAGATCTTTTCCATCCACCCCAGGGGGAGACTGACAGGGGTGGTGGGGATTGGCATCAGTTTAACGTCTCACCCAAAAGATGGCACCTCCAGCACAGGAAGTGTGGGCCTGGATTGTTTGCACAAGCTGCTGGACTGAGACTCAAGCTCGAACTCTCAGCCTTCAGATCGAAGCCAAGAGAGCTACCCCTGTGATTCACTGAGAGCAGAGGGAATGAGAGAGAGAGCCTGAAACTGTGAGGAGGGAGGGAGGGAACGTACAGTTTCACTGGTGATAGCTGTGGCTAGCTTTGTGTCTGCCACAGTGGACAAACAAACTGTGACTTACAAACCTAAATACAGACAAGATCAAGGAACAACAAAATAATCACCATGGTGAACATTTCGAAAATGTGAAATTTAATTCCAATTGTATCTGTTGCATAAACAATATTATTAACTTCTTATACCCAACAGCATTTATAAAACAATTAAATAAATAAGTCTTTAACAATGTACTGTTTGTGTGTGTTTTTTACTTCTAACATTTTAATTATCAAAGTGAACATTCAATCAGATTTGCAAAGTCACCTTGAATGGAGTTATGGGGTGAAAGCAGGGTTCGGAACTAATTAAATAGTCAGACTGAATCATTGACCTGGGGAGAGGAGGGAAAGATTTGAGGGAGGAGCTGAAAAATAAAACATTACCTTGTTGCTGTGACATCAGCTCAGAGGGAGGCCATTCAGCCCATTGTGCCTGTTCTGGCTCTTTGTATGAGCTATCTAAGTAGATCCCCTTCATGCCCTCAACTTGCTGTGGACATACAATCCTTATCCAACTCCCTTTTGAAAGTTCCTCTTGAATCTGCTTCCAATGCCCTTTAAGGCAGCCTTCCCAGATCACAACAACTCATGGGGTAGAAAAAAACATTTTATTTTGGATCCTTGAGTTTGTCTGGATGGGTACAAAATATAAACCTTTGCCTATTTCACCAATAATAAAAACAGTCTTCTCATCTTCCCCTCTGCTCCTTTTGCAAGTTGCCTTATTGTCACTGACTGTTCAACCACTGGAAACAGTTTCTCTAGGTTTATTAAAACCCTTTGTGATTATAAAAACGTCTGCTAAATTTCTTTTTAACTTTCCTTGATCTGAGGAGAATGATCCCAGCTTTTTTAGCCTCCCGTGAAGTCCCTCAGCCCTGGAACTGTTTTACTCACTCTCCAGCAAATGGAAACAATTTCTCCCTATTTATCAGGTTTCTCTGCCCTCATTGACTATGCATGAGGGCAACTTGTGCTCAAGGTTCTCGGTGACACTTCTTTCTGCGCTGACTAACTGTGCAATTTGACTCATCAAACTTAGTGGAGATTTATTATTCATTCACGGTATTGCTGGCAGAGCAAGCATTGATATCCCATCACCAGATGTCCCCAAGAAGGTGGTGGTAAGCAGACAGGTAGAGGACATAAAGGGGGTAGCTTTTCCAAAGAGTCAGTACAGGCACAATGGGCAGAATAGACTCTATCTATCAAATAGCTATGATCATATACCCGTCCACACCAACACAGCTGTTTCTTACAACTGTATGTATTTGACCTTTAAGGCCACTCAGTTAGACCATAAAATCATGAGACATAGGACTGAATTAGGCCATTCAACCCATGAGCCTGCTCCCCCATTTGATCATGGTTGGTATGTTTCTCAACCCCATTCTCCTGCCTTCTTCCTGTAACTCTTGATCCCCTTACCAATCAAGAACCTACCCATCTCTGTCTTAAATACACTCAATAACTTGACCTCCATAGCCCTCGGTGGCAATGGGTTCCACAGATTCTCCACCCTCTGGCTGAAGAAATTCCTCCTCATCACAGTTCGAAAGGGTCATCCCTTGACTCTGAGACTTTGCCCTCAACCCCTTTGCATTGAAGTTGGACAGTATCAGAGATAGAGAGGGAAGAATGGATAAGGGCATGGATGGATTTGAAAATAAGAATGAGAAGTTTTAAATTTATAAACTTGACTCTGTTCGAGATCCATTTGTAACTTGATGTTTTGCAAACATTATTCATTGAAAAATCTCGCTTCCTCTGCAGTATGAAAATTCAAGAGAAATGACTAATGAGTTAATTGCATTTCACTGACATTGTCTAGGCAATTACTCACCATTGGTTTTACTTCAGTCAACTTGTCTCAATAAATTTTCAGTGGCGCCCACATCTCGAGAATTAATTTTCAAAAGGAGAAATCTCAATTAAACTCTGTTCTCTCCACAGCCCATGAATTATTACTAATTTACCAAGTTGGTCTCATTTAACCACTGGGAAATCTTACACTTAAAATAAGCAATTTATTGAATCTTTTTTGATGAACAAAGATGCAAAATGCCAAAGTGGGTATCCTTAGGGTGAAAAGTCTAGCTATGAGTAGAGAGGCTGGGAATCCCGCAGTGACTAATTCACCTGCTGACTCCCCTCCAAAGTCTGTCACCATCTACAAGGCACAAGTCAGGAGTGTGATGGAAAACTCCCCTCTTGCCCCGGATGAGTGCAGCTCCAACAAAACTCAAGGAGCTTGGCACCATCCAGGACTATCCAGAGTGGTGCCCGCTCGATTGGCACCGCTTCTACATGCATCTACTCCTGCCGACTGCTGAACACTGAGGGGACTGGACAAAGTAGTTAGGGTGAAGTTGCTCCCACACATAAAAGGAACAAGAATGAGAGGGATAGTAGGAACTGCAGATGCTGGAGAATCTGAGATAACAAGGTGTAGAGCTGGATGAACACAGCAGGCCAAGCAGCATCGAATGAGAGGGCATGGATTTAAATGATGTGCCATTGAAGCAAGGGTGATATGAGAATAAAACATTTCTCTCAGTGAATAATTAGGGTCTGGAATACACTGCCTGGAAATGTGGTGGAGGCAGATCTAATTGAGGAGGGGCATTGGATGGCTATTTAGATGGAAATGGTGTACAGGGATATTGGGGAAAAGGCTGGAAAGTGGCACCAAGTCACAATTTTCATTTGACGAGCTGGTGTGGGTATGATGGGATGAATGACCTCCTTCTGTTCGGACACATTTCTGTGATTCTGTGAAGTGTTTAGGTGGAGCATGACTGCATAATTCCAGAATGAATGCTAACATTGCATTTGCCTTCCTAACTGCCACCTGAATCTGCATGTTAATCATAAGAGTTAATATTTGTAAGGTTATTTTGTGCTTCAGATACCAAAGCCTTACCCTATTTAGAAAATAGTCTGCAGCTCTATTCTTCCTACTGAAGTGCATAACCTCACACTTTCACACATTGTATTCCATCTGCCACTTCTTTGAGCACTCTCTAGTCCTTCTGCATCCTTCTCCATTCCCCAACACTACCTGTCCCTCCACCTATCTTTTGTTATTTGCAAATTTAGCAACAATTCCCTTAGTTCCTTTATCTAGATTATTAATGTATAACGTGAATAGTTGTGGTCCCAACACGGACACCAGTGAAACTCCACTAGTCACTGGCTGTCATCTTGAGAAAGACCCCTTTATTCCTTCTGCCAGTCAGCCAATCCTCTATCCATGCCAGTACCTTTCCCCTAACCCAATGGACTCTTATCCAATTCTACAGCCTCCTGTGCCTTGCCTTATCAAAGCCCTTCTGGAAATATAAATAGATCACTTCCACTGGCTTTCCTTTCTCTAACTTGCTCATTACCTCCTCAAAGAATTCTGACAGATTTGTCAGGCATGACCTCCCCTTGTTGAAGCTATGCTGACTCAGCCCAAATTTACCGTGCACTTTCATAGCACTTCACAATCTTATCATCAGTAATGGACTCTAAAATCTTACCAATGACCGAGGCTGGGCCAACCAGCCTATAGTTTCCTGTCTTGTACCTTCCTCCCTTCTTAAACAGGGTTTTACATTAGCCATTTTCTAGTTCTTTGGAACTCTTCCTGACTCCAATGATTACTGAAAGATCACTATCAATGCCTCCACAACCTCCTCAGCTATCCCCTTCAGAACTCTGGAGTGCTGTCCACCCAGTCCAGTTGATTTAACCACCTTTAGACCTTTCAGCTTCCCCAGCACCTTCTCCTTAGTGATGGCCACTACGCTTCACCTCTGGCCCTGATTCTCTTGAAATTCTGGTATACTACTGGTGTCTTGCACTGTGGAGGCTGATGCAAAGTACATACAGTTCCTTCACAACCAACCTAATTTTCCCAGTCCCCCATGATTATTGCAAATATCTTTCTTACATGCCTTTTCTATCACCTGATTTATTTTCTGCACCACATCCTGACTGCGGCTTGGGGCCTGTACATAACTCCCATCAAGGTCTTTTTCACTTTTGCAGTTCTTCAACTCAAACCATACAGATTCTATGCCTTCCAACCTTATATCACTTCTTGCTATATATGTAATTTCATTTCTTACTAACATTTAGTTCCCAGCCCCGATCCCCTTGTGGTCATCAGGGTAGGCCTAGTGGTATTGTCATGCAGCTATTAATCTAGAGATGCTGCTAATGTTCTGGGGACCTGGGTTCAAATCCTGCCACGGCAGCTGGTGGGATTTGAATTCAATAAACATCTGGAATTAGAAGACTATGAAGCTGTTGTTGATTGCATCTTGAAGGAAAAACCATCAGGCTCACACTAATGTCCTTCAGGGAAGGAAACTGCCATCCTTACTTGGTCTGGCCTACATGTCACTCCAGACCCACAGAATTGGAGTTGACTCTTAAGCGCCGTCTGGGCAATTAGGGATTGGCAATAAATATTGGCCTAGCCAGTGATGCCTTCATCCAATGAATAAATTAAAAAAACCAAAGCCATGTCTCTGTGTTCCTGTCTGCACACATGCTGCCAGACCTGCTGAGTTTCTTCAGCACTCTCTGTGTTTGTTTCAGATTTCCAGCATCTGCAATATTTTGTATTCATGCAGAGGGATCTTAGTGTTCCAGTGCATGTGTGAGAAATGGATAGAATGCAGGTTCAGCTAATAATTAAGATGTTAATGGGATCCTCTTCTTTATTACAAGAGGAATTGAACATAAAAGTGAGTACATTACGCTTCAGTTACACACAGCATTCGTGAGACCATATCTCAAATACTGTGTGCAGTTTAGTCTCCTTATTTAAGGAAGATTGTAAATGTATTGGGGCTGGCTCAGAGGAGGTTTACTGCATTGATATCTGGAGTGAGCAGGTTGTCTTTTGGGGAAATGTTGGACAGACTGGGGGCTTGTTTCCACTGAAGTTTAGAGAGTGAGGGGTGATTTGATTGAAAGGAATTAGACCCTGAATGGTCCAGACCAGGTGGATGTGTGAAAGATATTTCCTCTTGTGGTTCAGCCCAGGACCAGGGGGTGCTGTTTTACAATTAGGGGTCATCCTACCAGGACAGAGATGAGGAGACTTGTTTTTATCTCAGAGAATTGTGTGATTTTGGAACCTGCATCAGGGGGCAGTGGAGGTGGGATCATTGAATGTTTTTGAGGCAGTGGTGG